TTGTGTGGGTGGTTAATTCACACCCAAATAGAGCTGTGGCTGGTATTATTTGAGGCGACAGCCCTGTGATGTATTTGGTGGGTTGTGGCATTAAAAGGAATGTGGGAGAAGCCCCTTCTATTCCCATCCCTTCTACTGTTCATAATGTTTTAATGTATATTCTCCTACTGATGCACTGCTAAACAAGATATATTGGCAATATTATGTGTACATGCTAGGTAAATGCCTTGTTGTTGTGCTATGTGTACATGCTAGGTAAATGCCTTGTTGTGCTGTGTCATTTCTTTTCTTTAACAACAACAGAAAGTCGCTGCAACATGCTGAATGATGGCTGCAGGAAAAGGCAGGGAAGGGGATGAGAAGGGGAGTGTCATTAATCTGAAGGGAGAGAAATTGGAGTGATCCAAAGACCTGTCTGGACCCTTCGCATGGGAGAGGAAACATCAGTCAGTGTGGGCAGAAGCATTGCTCAAGTGAGAGATAAAATAGACTGCACTAAGGATAAGAAGCAGAGCGAACCAACTTTTCCTCTCTGGATGTGCTCAGAGGTGCTCTTCCTTGACTTCCATGTGCTCAGACAGCGCTGGTTTTAAGCAAAAGGGTTTGCGGCCATGACAGCTAATTTGGCCATTACTTTGGGGTCCATTCCAGTAAGCATCTGATAGAGAGCAATAATTACTTAATGACAACATTGTGTCTGTAACCAGAATGGCATGAAAGAATTTCTGAATGGAGACTTTGTCTTAGCAAGAGGGTCCACTGAGCAACAAATACATCACTGCATTTCATGCCTCAAAAGGTATTGAATCAACAGTTACATCATCCAAGAGGTGAAATAAATTATTCATGCCATCCATTTTAGACATTAACCTAGAAGGCAGGTAGATAGATACCAAGTGTGTTCTTTCTCTGTATGTATGAGTATATAAATCCCATACTCTGGGAATGTTTTTTTATACCAAGTGTGTTCTTTCTCTGTATGTATGTGCATATTTCATCAAGTTTATATACTCTGGGAATGTTTTTTTAAAAAAGGATAGAAAAACGTTTTGTGATGTAAGCATTTATTCATTAAAATACTTAGCATTTGTGCCACCAGCCACCATGTATAATATGGTAGTATGTTACTGCAATTCTTTCTCAGTCCTTTTCTCTATCACCGCTTGGCATGTTGGTATTCTTTCATTCATTCACTCATTTCGTATCTCACCCTTTGGCTTACAATGACTTAAAAAACCCAACATCTGAAAACACAATAAGCTATAATAATTATATCCCAAGGAAACAAATTATCATATTAAAGCAATTACCAAATTTTCAAAGCGTTTTGAAACATTTAAAAGCATATAATTAAGAAAATGATGATAATAAAAATCACAGCATCTACCATTAGAAGATCCCTCCCCAGCTGCCAGAAGCCAGCCTGGAGATAAATGGTCTGTGTTTAGTTCTGTGATGAATTCTATGCTTTTTACACGTTCAGGTGGTGTTTAGGCTAGGTCATCATATGGGGTGTGCATAGCATGGTTTGCAACTTATCTTCGCTCAAGGTCATATAATAAATTGTTCCTAAAAGTATCCAACAGAGTTCTGATGGGTTTTTTTCCCAACCTAGTTAGTGTGGGGATTTCTCCCACCACTCTGCATTGCACATCCTTACTAATTTACTACTTTTGCCAATGGCTGCATCTCAGAGATGTGGAACATTTTCTTCAGAATGGCCGTAAAGGTCAGAGAGCACCTTTCCTCTGCAGACCAGACCCCATGCACCCACCTCATGCTGAGAAATGGCAATGAAAAGGATGCTTCAGTGAGCAATTATAATTGGCTCTGTTTTGAGGCATGCTTGACAAGCTGTGCTGCTGAGGCCCAGCAGCGAGTCTCCATACGCTGGTTGGGAGCTAGTGCTATGCAGAACTCAGCTGGCATCCTGTGGAGAAAATACAGCTTTCCAATCAGGCACCATTAAAACCATCTGTCTGATCCGGTAGGTGATACATGTGTGGAGTTCCAAAGGAGAAGGGATGCCCCATTCTGATGTAAAAGCAATGGTCACAAAGAGGAGAACTGGAGTATTTCTGGCATAGTGCTGCATTTAAAATTCAGAATCTCTGAAGTTTTTTACGCTGTGCATATGCTCACACAGTAAAGTGCCGATGGAAATATAATCTGTGCCGTGTACATGAAAAAGTAACAGTGGGGGTGGAGGCTGCCAAGCCTTTCAGAGCTTTCATCTATGCTTTACCAAAATAGCTTCAGCACCATGGATAACTCTCATAGCATGCAGACTAAAACATGCATTCACAGAAGGAACCCTGAAATCGGAATCTCCCACTGCCACAGGAACGTGGGTACTTAAAATCAAATTAAGTACCCTACTATAAGTGTGCTGATCTCAATAAACACCAACAGAAGGATCATCATGACCTTTCACCGACAATGAACAACATTTTCCCATGTGATATGTGAAGCAAAATCTCATAATCCGTACACTTGTCTGCCAAGTTTTGCGGTTTTTTATTTCCCTTTTCCCTATTTATCTTAATAACTGCAAATAAAATCTGGGAAAATGTCCAATGCCTAATTTGTTTTTTGCCTGTGATATTTCTCTCTCTCTCTCTCTCTCTCTCTCTCTCTCTCTCTTTGTGTGTGTGTGTGTGTGTGTGTGTGTGTGTGTGTGTGTGTGTTGTGTGTATGTGAGAGAGAGAGAGAGAGAGAGAGCATTTTGTTTTTTAAAATGGATGCTAAGGTCCCAAATTCCCCATGGTGGATTAAAGTTTTGTGTCCTTCCAACACAAGTACAGAGCCACTTCAAATAAAAGTTTCCATTTGGGGCAGTGCTGTCATTTAGAAGCAGGGTGGTAGAAAATCTTTGGTTTCCAAGAATCCTCTGGAGAACTGAATGATTCAATAGAATAACACAGCAATCTGACCATGTTGGAACAATTTAGGGATAACTTAGTATCTTTCCACTCAAATGTTATTGACAAAAGAAGTACATATCAGTTTTGTATTGCCTTGTGAGGATTCTGCATTCCTGTGTTCTTCTCACCTGTAAGAGGTTGGACACCATTATGGCTACACTAACATCGAGTGAAGTGCTTTAAATAATGATTTTGAATGGCATACTTTCTTTCCTGCACTTCTTTTCACATTTATTTTACCTTCAATGATCAGCTGTAACAATCTGGGTTTCTCATTGCATCACTTTCTACATTTCTTGTATTTTATGATCCCTTAGTCCTTATTCTCTCATTATAGTACTTCTTCAAGGAATTCTTAGCATATTGTGATAAATCTGTATGTCAAAAACCTTTATCTGTTTTAATAGTTCCATGTGGTTGTCCACAAATACAGCAAAAGCACAGACCTGTCGTTTAGGTTAGGCTATATTTCTGATGTAGAGATATTATATTTTTCCACCACATTCTACAAAGCCTTGGCATCATGGTCAGCCAGACATATGCAGAGACTGTAGTTAGGGGAGCACATCTACTACCTCATCATATATAATGTGTAATATGACCTGGGGGGTTTCATGTGACAACTGAAACAGTGTCTGTCTAGAATGTATGCTTAAAGGGTATTACTAAACTCTCCTGCATAAACCGGACTACAGATAGATTTTTTTTTCCATCTAGAAAAATCCAACATTTCCCCTTACACAGTGATTCCTATGGGTGAACGTGATGGGGAAGCACCACAACCAGTGGAGACTAATACAGTTGAACCCAATTTTTCCCCCATTTAGGGCATGTTTTTGAGATTTTTAAAGATTTTAGACTTTATCATTTATGATATATGGCCTTTGCAACACAGTGCCAGTACAACAGTAACCTTATTCATGTATTCATAATCATATTTATTCAGTGCTCTAGACCCATCATTCCATCATTATTTTGCTCACACGAGAAAAAACAGGTCTGAAGAAGAAATTCTTTGCTATTTATGGAAATTCTTCATTGTTGTGTATGTGATTATATGATTAAATGGGTTATATGTCTTGTATACTTGTCTTGTATTATAATCCCTGTTATTATTTTTGTTATTTTCAAGGGTTGTCAATACAAATTAAAAAAATGATGGAGACTCTCCGCATGAGATGGGACCCTAACTTTTTTTTTCTAGGAGGCTATGTTTCTGTGAAGATATTCTAGTGTTCAAAGCAACTCATGTGCATTATCTTGGTAATTCTGACAACATGGGAGAACAGGATTGTTTTCCTTAGATAACTGTAGGGCTGAGACTGGTGATTTTGTGGTTCCCAAACTGAGGGGTCCTAGGCACTCTTCCACTACAAGTCCCAGCAGACCTACTTAGCCCAGCCAAAGGTCAGGTCCTCTGGGAGTTGTATCCCTTTCAGGAACATCTGGGACCCAAGTTAGGGAATCACTGGACTAACATCTGTTCATTGAACAGTATTATTTTTAAAAATGGAGAAAAACAATTACTAGGATACAATTTTGTTAAATCTTTGTCATATCCAAAAAAAATTAGGCTATTCTCTCTCTCTCTCTCTCTCCCCCCCCTTATATGTAATGCAAATCCAAACAGATATTTATAAAGCATGGTGGGGAAGAGGGGAAAATTTCGCCTGTTTAGTATATCTAGGCAGGAAACGTGCTATTGCCTCTGGCTGGGGGCTTGAAGATGTGGAAGGAATAATATTCTGTTGGAGTGCACTTTATGTGGAATGACCCTTGTAGGCATAATAAGAGTCCTTCTCATACACATCTTTATTGGCCTAAGTGACAGATTAAAATGGGTGAATTTAAATAAGAACTTCGATAGACTGCAATATACCCATAAAGCCAGTCTAGAAACTAATTTTTGGGAGGGTGGTGGTTGTTGCAAATATATAATTATGTTAAAGAGTTGCAATTTTTATAACCAAATGTAGGCATAATTAATTGAGTGTCAAGAGCACCCAGAACACAAACCATTGCTGAAGATTCTAGCCACATTTACTATATATCTAATATTGTTCCGTTTTGTTTAAGCTGGCAGGATTCATCTACGCCTGTTATGTTGTGAAATGTATCACCGAAGAAGAGGACAGCTGTAAGTACTAAAGGTTTATTACATGCCAGTTGAAACCATTTTCATACCATGCATCTCGCTCATCCATCTCACTCTGATTTCATTCAGAATACTTTGTCATACTGTAAAACTGGAAATAGGCTGGGGTTGGAGAGAGGCTGCCAAGCATCCTGGATCTTTAAAAGGCCACCAGTGCTTAGAGCAAATGGATGGAGTGATAAAAATGCAGCTTTAGAATGACTTTCTTTCCTGCAATGAAACAGTAAAGCCCTTGCCTCCAAAAGTTCTTCGCAAGTCAAAGTCTTATTGCTTCTACCTATGACTGATACTAACTCTTCCTTGTCCTTCCAACGCTTTATTCTGTAGGGAAGGTTCTTGTAAACTGAATATGGGGTTTGTTACGATGTTGTTTTTTGGGGGGAGTACAGATGGAGCATCAGTTCATTGCAATAGTTTCACCGCAGAGAGGTAAAGCCAGGAGGAATCTGCTAGTTTTAAGCAGACAATTAATATGCTTGAGTTCTCCTACTTCAATGTGTCAGTAAACCTGGCTGAGTACAAAAGACAACACAAATACAGTTCAATAATTTTCATTTGTCTCCTTTTAATCTTACTTTTTGCATAATGATGTCTATTCTTTTGCTTTAGCTACTATCATGATCAATCAGTTAAACTTTATTCACATTTTCACTGACCAGTTTCTCTTGCTTTAAAAAATAAATCACAGTTATACATCAGAGATATTCTAAACATGAGTAACACAAAACAAATAAGCACAAATCAAGACTGTGCTGCCTCTCTACCATCTACCTGTATCTGCTCTGGGTTCTTGCTCATGAACAGAGTGTATATGCAAGCGGGAATCTCTCCTTTGTAGACTCATCACTGCTCATGTGCAGAAAGTGACAATACACTGGGGGGGCTAGGCTCTCCCCCTAGTCCAGGTGAAAGTGCTGGGTTAGATAATGCATGAAATGACTAAGGTAATAATGTTATAACACAGATATATGTACCTACATGTTATTGAAATGGGTAGGTGCATAGGCTGAAAGTGAAAAAATACTGCCATTTCAGCAGTACCCCTGGGTTGAATGTGATGCCTAGTTTTGCCCTGAAAACATAATATTTTTGTTAGAATATTTCAGTAATCACATGTTAAACATTATGAAACCTAATTGATTTCACTGAGAGAAGTGTAAGCATGTGTTAAGTTGAATTACATTGGACTACATGTGATTTGCTCGTTATCTAACTAGAATTATTTGCCAGCTCTCATTAACACCTAAAGCTGTGAGAAGGAAAAATGGGGAATTCATGATATTTGGAAGCAGGATACATGAATATTTAAAGGCCACTTCTTTTCACGTATTGTATTTACATTTAGCTTCTGGTTTGTTGTGATGAAATTTAGTCAGCAGTGGTGCAGAATCCAACATTAAAAAACCCTATATTTGATGGTCAAAGTAAGTGCCAGTGTGAGCAGAACATGAATTGATCTGTCTTTTTGGGTCCATATCCTGTCTTAAAAACTCAGGGCAGGTGACCAACAGTTAACAAATTTCTCAATATAGTAAGAGTTATAGTTCAGTAGTTATTCTGTTAAAGGGTGCAACATAATAATAATAATACCGTGTTTTCCCCAAAATAAGATAGGGTCTTACAGTATATTAATTGTTGCTTTTAAAAAATGCATTATGACTTATTTTCAGGGGATTTTTTTCAAGAACAACAATCTAAATTTATTCAATTACCATACAGTATTTTATTTTATTATTACTATTATTATTATTATTATTATTATTATTATTATTATTATTATTATTATTATTATTATTATTATTATTATTAATTTATTCCCATTCTCCTGCCCCTTCTTTAAATGTACCTGGTGCCACTTCCTCCAGGGGTGCCTCTGCTGGTGGTGGCTTGCGTTCCTCCAGTGGCGGGCGGTGCCTGGGCCGAGGCTCCCGTTGGGGCTGGCGGGCACTGGGGATGTTTTGAGGGAAACAATGGCAGCAGTGAAGGGGGAGGCATGGGGTGGGAGGGGGCAGGGTCCGAAGCCCGCAAGCCCAGTTGAGGGCAGCCGCTGCTTCAACATGTGGCCCTGCCAGCAGTACCCAGCACCAAAGAGGGAGCCAGAGGGAACCGAACAAGAGGAGGGTTGAAAGAGTTATGGTAGGATAAAGAGGGGAGGGGGGAAATAAGGGCAGGGGAGGGGG